CAAAATCAGGTTGCACAAAAAATCATCAGAATAGGTCGAGTGATATATTTACACTTGCGATCAGCTTAGTGTGTTATTACTAGCCTTCTTTTTTTCTTACCTAACTCGCAAATAAAAGTGTTCATTAACAGGGTTCACTTATTTGGAAATATCACTTTAGTATTGGAAATTGCACAGCATCTGTTCTCGGCTTTTCTTGTGGCTGGTGTTTGGCGTGTGTTAAGCTTCCTTGGCTGGTGGTTAGAGTGTGAGACTCTTAATCTCTAGGTTTCAGGTTCAAATCTCAGAAGTAACTGAATTTTTGCTAAGTCGAGGCTTATTTCTAATTTATATTATTGAACTTTACAGAGCTGCTTTTTGTCGTTTTCTTGCAATTGTTTGCGAAGCTTCGCTTCTCTGTATGCCAAAGCCTTTTCAGTCGTGATTCGGACGACTATAAAAAATCTGAAACAAATTTTCCCAGTGTCGAGAAAAACCGGTTTGAATTTTTTGATTTTTCGTCTCGTTTCGACCGAATTAAGCGTGCAAATAAAAAGATGGCAACTTGTTAAGTTGTTCAATTAGGCTAAAAAACTTAATTTTCCAAACGAAATCTAGTTTTGAAAACTTTATATGGCATTTCTCTGACAAAAAAATTGAAAAAATTGTGGAAAAAACCATTTCTATTTTTTTGTTATACTTTTGATAACAACTTTGGTCGGTTCTGCCTAGTTTACTTACTTTTTACGCGTTTATAAATTTTCTGATCACATTGTCGATCAAAACCGTGAAACAGAAATTGGCATAGCGACAATTCGTCGCAATTATAGCAAGTGATATTTCGTTTCACTTATAGCAAGCGATATTTCGGTTCATAGCAATGTTTAGACAACCGCATATTCATACTCGTCAGTAAGCAGACAAATACTATATTAACCAATCAGAATCGAGATGAGAAAACAAATTTAAGGAATAAATAATTATTAATTATGAATTTGTTCCTTGTCTCGATGCTGATTGGTTTATATAGTATTTGTCTGCTTACTGACGTGTATGAATACGCGTTTGTCTAAATATAGACTGCACTCCGATAATTCGTTGCTTGGCAATTTTATAAGGAGACATTACTTAGTTGTACCGTAAAACAATTAATAAAGCATAAAGCCGTTTGGGAGTGCGGTCAAAAAAGACAAACTTTATTTCATACCGGGTCAAAAAGTAGACAAATACTAAATCAACCAATCAGAATTGAGAACACAAAGCAAACCCAGGAAGTGAATAATGAGTAATTATTTTTTTTCTAAGTTTGCTTTTTGTTCTCGATTGTGATAGGTTAATATAGTAGTTGTCTACTTTATGACGTATCTACTTTATAACTTGTCTATTTTTTGCTATGTAACCAGCCGTTTGATTGCTGTGCATTGCCAAATCAATTTACTTCAAATTAATTTTTGATATATGTTAAATTGGGGCTAGGAATTTAGACGATAAGCAAATTAGACGGATCCATTAAAACGGAATTTAGACGTTAAATTGTTTTTGCCAAACTAGGATTTTAGACGGAAAACAACGGGCTAACAAAACTTATTGCTTAAAACAAGTTTTCATAATTACAAAAGTAGTATATGATCAAAATATTTATCACAATTGATTTATCAGACGTTAAGCTCAATATTATAAAAAAATTTGAAGTGCATAAATTATACAATTGCGGCATGTGAAAATTGCGGCCTGTTAAAAGTTGATTTGCATTTAAGAAAGCTCGGAAGAAAGTTAATTGTAGTCAGTTAACAAATTTCAGACTCGAACAATACAATTACGTCTAATTTCCCATATTTTTAATTTTGCATCGAAGTCTAAATTCGTTTTTGTTGGTCACATCTAATTGCTTTTCATCTAATTTCCTAGGCCCCTGTAAAATTGCTCTGCGGTGAATTGTCTCATTTTGAATTACTTTTATTATTCATCTGTAGTTAATGGTAGCTGGTGGCAGATTGTTGCATTGCGTTAAAATCGTATCTCCAAATCTACTTTCTCTACGTATCTCCCCAAGAAGTTAACGCAAAAAATAACTATTATCAAATGTGTCATTTTTAATTGTTTGAGATGACAATGGACAAATTAATACACAGCAGCAGAACTCCACCAATTCAAAGCTGCATTGCTCTGAAGCCGAGCTGCTTCGGTAAACAATTCTTAACAGGAAGAAAATTCTAGCTTCATGATTGAAAGACTTGCTACTATCGCAACTGTAACGAACTTTCTTATTTTATCGTTTGTTAACTCTCGCGAATCTCAACAAATACAAAGGAAGTCGATTTGTCTTGGTAAAAACAAACCAAGTTCAATTTTTTGACAAAACTAACAGTTATTTCCGTTGCTAAATTTCTCTATTTCCTGTCAACTTATTTGATTGGAAACAGCGATATCAGGAAAATAAAAATGCAGCCAAAGCACTAGCATTTCTTGCTTTTTGTTACTGTTTGTATCTTACTTGCTGCAATACAGAAAAAAACTTTATATGGAAAGTGCATTCTTCTTCTTTTAGTATAGATCAACCTCCGCGATTTTGTTTGATGTTTTAATCATTCTTCAACCATGTGAGAAATGTCTAAACATCTGATAACCATCTTGGTTGAAGCTAGATCCTTACAACTCTCGCTATTTTCAGATTTACATGGCATCGGTGGACGTTCAAGTAGAAATAAAAGGTGTGTCGGCTACAAGTGAAATTGACAAAGAAAAATTCACAAATGGCGAAACCATCACAACAGGAACAACAAACACTCTTTCGTTCCATAACCTGAAATACTCGGTGAAAGTCGGGAGACCTTTCAAAAAAGTGGACAAAAGAATCTTGAGAGATGTGAGCGGGATTTTTGAACCTGGCCTGAATGCAATTATGGGACCAACTGGAGGCGGGAAGACTAGTTTGCTGGACTTACTGGCCAAAAGGAAAGATTCAAAAGGACTGGAAGGAGAGGTCCTTTTAAACGGAAGACCGGTGCCTAAAAATTTCAAACTGATTTCTGGGTTAGTCTCTTCACATTGACAAAATAATTAATACAAGGTATTTTTATGGGTTTGTCGCGAAGTTTTTTGTCGCGGAGTTGATTGTTTCTGCTGTTTTTAATTTTAGTGCAAATACTTATAAAATCAATTTTACGTAGAAGAGCACATGAGAAATTACGGCAGGCTTACGAAATAGAATCTAAATTTGAGCATTTCATTTGGAAGTTTTTTTCTTACATGTCACAAAATTTTTACCATTTAATTGTGTTTCGAGTATTTTAGCGAGTTGTCATTTTAATGCACGATACATGCACGTTAAATGCACGTGTGATATTAATACCGAAGCGAAGTTTGCATTAACTTTTTTCTTTTCCTAGCTAGGGTGCATGGTAAGAAATAATGTCATCTTTATTAATATTAAATAACTGTTTTCAGCTTTTTAACATCTAAGACAAACTGCTCGTTTTCATAAAATCTTTGTGCTTGTTTTGATGAATAAAGTTGTACACTTGTTTAGTCAAAATTAGCTGTTTTCATTTAGGTGACTGGATTCTTTTCCGAAAGTTGCAAATATTTTTGAACTCGAAATACTATTTTACACAAACAAAGGATTTACTCAATACGTCGAAAGAATTATTGTGAGCATCGAAAAATTTGTTTTGGCAATCGAAAACTCTTGCGTGACCAAAAAGATTAGCGTTCAAAGTTTTGCAACTTTCAATGTCATTTTTTCTGTTGAATTTATTCATAACTAGTTAGGTTTTTTAGCTATGTAGTGCAAGATGACGTAGTGATGGGTACTCTGACAGTGAAGGAAAACTTAGAATTCGCTGCCAATTTGAGAATGAGAGGCAACTTGACCTCTAAACAGAAGGCGGACTGGGTGGATGAGCTGATCAAAGAGCTGGGACTGGAGAAGTGTGAAAACACTAAAGTGGGCACTGAGTTGATCAAGGGCGTCTCTGGGGGAGAGAGGAAGAGGTGCAACATAGGAATTGAGCTGGTCACTAAACCACCTGTTCTTTTTTTGGGTTAGTATCAAAACGATGTTCAATTTAGTGCAAATTAGTGATTTAGTGCAAAATCTCGTAGGCAATCTGATTTTATTGATTTATTTATAAAGTTACAGAATAGTCCTGACAGGGTTTTTCCCCGAGATTTAAACGATCAAAATAAATGAAGTTTTATAAGATCGTTTTTTGAAAACAATCGAAAGTTTGGTACGATAAAAAACGAACGTTTTAATTACGGCTTGAGAAAACGAGTGTAATTAATGAAATTTTCCCGAGGTTGTTTTTTTTTCAATTGAAAAGTGCTCACTTTTATTTTTTTTAATGAAGCATGGGTAAAAGCTTGAGGAAAGACGCGCCATTGGTTGAATGGAAAAATGTGTGCTCCAATATGGAAGCCTTTGGTTTGAAACTACAATCACGGTACAAATAAAGGGCAATTTTTAGGTTTCAACCGATGTAATGAACCAAAATTACGCTCTTAATTCGAGGCGTCATGTTATAGCAGATTCTGTGATTATGCAGAGTTAAAATAAAAAAATTGATCTCAATTTAATTGAATAAGAGGAACATTACTAAATGCTAAGGCGTTCGTTTCGAGCTCATCAGTTCGAGTACTCGATCCCCTGTCATCAAGATAGTGTGAGAGGAAGAGCTGTAACTAGACTTCTGGATTATCGGCTAACGATTTAAATCTTTGGTGTTCCGAGATGCTGGATTAAGTGCCGATAAAGACTGCCAAATTAAAAAAAAACGCTGCCTGGGGTTGAGTTTTCCTAATTAAGACAATTATCTCACGATTGGTCGACAAATTTAACTAGTTTAGCGGCAAACACTGATTTACGCGAACTATTCTTTTTGTGCCGAATGTAAGCGCAACGGAGCAAGCGGTCCTTTCTTGCCAGTGCCGCGTTTGATTTTAGCGTTATTTTTTGAGTCTGCTAGAACCGGTCTTTTTAAAACCTGTTGTTCCCCTGGTATTACTTTTTTTTGCTTCAGATGAGCCGACAACAGGGCTGGATGCGAGTACTTCGCATAGTGTGATGAATCTACTGCGGGATCTGACTGTTCAAGGAAACAGGACAATCGTGTTCAGCATCCACCAGCCGAGATATTCGATCTTCCGACTGTTCGACCGACTGCACCTGTTATCCTCTCACGGACAGACTGTGTTCCATGGGCCAGCCAGCCAAGCAGTCGACTATTTCGCCAGACATAATCTGGTCTGTGAAACATACAACAACCCAGCAGACTTTTTTCTGGATATTATCCTCGAAAACAGTGATTCATCAGAAATGAATGAGGACCAAGTTCGTGAAAAGGAAGTTGAAGAAAAGATACCAATGAATGGGAAATCGGAAAAGAAAAACCTTCCACATTTTTTCTCGGAGTCTGTGGAATACCAGAAAATACAAGCGGACTGCAAGACGATAAGTTTGAACGCATCAAACAGCGCTGACATGCCTGGAGATCATGATGATTTAGGTTACGCGACCAATTGGTTCGCACAGTTTGTCTACCTCTCGATAAGGTCATTAAAGAACTTACTCAGGAATCCTCAAACCTCAATAGCTCCTTCAGTTATGATGATTATACTTTCCCTCTTAGTTGGGACATTGTATATAGACTGGACTACGGATCTGAACGGATTCCAAAACGTTTTTGGAGCGTTGTTCTTCGCGACGTTGCAAATGATGTTTGGAAACATGGCGGCACTTGAAGTGTTCGTTAACGGCAGAAGCCTATTCCTTCACGAATCCGCGAATGGGTTCTACAGAGTATCGTCATACTTTGTATCGAAAGTCGTTTGTGACCTTTTGCCCCTGAGAGCAATCCCGACTGTGCTGTTTTCGACGATTTTCTACATCATGCTTGGACTAAAAGCTGACCTGGGATACTTTGTCTTTTTCCTGTTCGTCAATATGACCACAACCATGGCAGCTTGCTCTCTGGCGTTTTTCTTCAGTGTCCTAACCGGAGTTTTCGCTGTGGCACAGGCATTGGTGTCTGTCAGCTACATCATCATGGTGTTATTCGCTGGCTTGATTCTAAATGTCACGAGTATGCCCGAGATTTTGCAGGCGTTGAAGTACGTCAGTATTCCGAGATATTGCTTGGCAGCCCACGCTTCGGCCCAGATCACAGATTTGAATTTCTGTGGGGAGATGACATTCATGGGCGCCGGAGGGAATCGAACGGAGAAGTTCGTGTGTCAAAGTGGCGAGGAGTTGCTAGACAAACAAGGGATTGGATCTGAGGTTACAGAGCGATGGATGAACTGCGCTTTCCTGATCATCTTTACGGCATTTTTCTTCTCGATTACTTACATTGTTCTTAGAACGATGCAGAAACGAAAGTAAAAAAAACCTGAATGAGACAATATAAAACTTAGTTAAATTACAGTATAATACAGTATAAATACAGTATAAAACTTAGTTATATTCGTTAAATTAGTTAGTATCTTTTTAAGATCTTTCGCTGTACTTTTTCATTCCGATCCTCAATCTAATTTTGCAGGTCAAGATGAAACAAAAATTTAATTTGAAAAATGCGAGCGCGTTTGGTCGAAAGCAAACATTTTTTGTCCTAATCCAATAATGACACAGGTTGTCAAAATTTATTATAAAGTACATTGCAGCTCGCTAAAATTCGGCAAGGAGCCAATTTACGCTTTCGTATTTATAGCATAGCTTTATTTAAAGTTTTCCCATTTCGCTGTTATACAATTCTTCCTACTGATACTATGGATTCTTAAATTACTATTATGAATTACTTTTGTTTTGGATGTATTAAAATAAAACTAAATTAACAGCAGGTGAAACAAGATCTATTTAAGTACCAACCCCTGGTAAAAAAAAAGAGGCGACATAGGCTGGTTACTAGGAGCGAATTCCGCATATGCCTCTGTAAAATTCATCCTTTGTAGGGGATTTCGATAATAGGTACCATAGAGGTCGGGGGATTTTTAAATAGATCCGCTCAAAAAGCTGCTGACAGACAAAAATGACATATGTTATATTTTTCATTTTTTTTATAATCAGCCTGTTTTTTTATTTTCCGCATTCGATTTTGAAAACTTTGACCTAGAATGCAAATTTGCTGTTATCTGTTTCGTCCTTACTGAATCTGAATGTTTAATTTAATTTCAAATTTTACTGAACTCATAATTTACTGAATTCAAAATTACATTTATCCATAACTTTTAGCTCGATTTTAGCCATAGAATAGTGAAAGATTTCAAGAATATTTGAAATTGTAGCGGAATGCTGTTCTCTAAATAACCTGCAAGTACTAGTAGTTGAGAATTCTTTGGTCTGTTTAGCGCCTTGATAAAAAGTGCCCATTGTTCGCTTTTTTATTGGAGCAACTTATAAGATAATGAATATATATGAAGTCTTATCTGTGTTTGCCAATCATCCATTTCGAAAATAATTCCAAATCTTTTTGGCCATTTTCAATATTTTTGAACATTATGAAATAGCTTTTATCAACGTGTGTTATTGAAACGAGGGATTGATCTACGTCTAACTTAATCAGGTCTTTTAATCATTTTTTTAATGGTCCGGGATTTCTTCTTTCTTTTGAGTGTCTTTTTGTTCGTTAATTTCCCTTTATTTGAAGCTCTTTTGCCATAGCTAAACATTAGGCACATTTTTCTGTTTGAAATATCTCTTAAAAACTTGTCTAGTTTCTCTGTGTCGTTTTGGTAGTTACGCAAAATGCAAGGGGTTCTTAGCCTGTTTAAACTAAATAACGCTGGTGTTAAAATACGAGGTCATTTTTTTCCAACCTAAATAACTATTTTCAGTGCTCATAAAAGTGTTCAATTTCTCTGTTCACTTTTAATGCAGTATATGCATAATAACTAGCGCTTAATTATGATCGGTAATGGGAATATTGCTTCAAGCAAATGTAAATTTTTTTGTACCGTCTGAAAGATACTGATGGCCTGGTCTGGTCTTAAAACTGTAAAAAAAAACTATTGCAGGTGTCATCATTTAAAGCAGAGCTATGGGGGTACGAAAATAATGGGTGGGGGTTATTGATAGCATGTTTTTTTTCGGAATTTTTTGCGTTTTCGAAGCTACCTTATGCTTAATTCTGCCTATATTTGCGAAGTGCAGCTTCGCCTATGAGTTAAATTAAACCACGAGAATCTAATAAGGTAGTTAATTGTTATCATTACCAGCACTTCACGAAGTGGGAAGGAAGCATGGCGTAGGATGTTTTTTGAGACGACTTAGACCACCTGAAAGAAAGCTCGTAGAGGTCACGCGTAGTACTGAAGCCTTATTGGTAGAGATTCAGATTCGAAAAAATTGTCAAAAATTGGTCTATTTTTTGGCCATTCAGACCATAGTTGGCCTGAAAACTGGGTATAGACTAATTTCAATTGCCAGTTCCATTTTGTTAATTGATCTTGATGAAACAGTCTATGCAGTTCTTAATTACACCATATTCTTCTCTTTTAAATCTATTGTATATTTAAATGCGGGCTTCAATGTCTCACCATGTTTAAGTTTTTTCAACGTATTGTTTTTGCTGTTTAAAAAAAATTCGCGTTTAAGCTATATCGCATATTGCAATGGTTTAATTTTTTTCTGGATTTTCCCGGTTGATTTCAGTAGTTATTTAACCAATTTTCAAATTATCAACCCAATAGTGGGATGATGTGAGGGTTCCTTCTGGGGCTGCGAGTTTGGCCTTCAATTATGAATACAAAGTTCTTTTAGTTTATGAGATACGGCAGCTTTCGAGATTTTTCAGAAATTTTTAAGTTAAACAAGTCTCATTCATGAATTCAGTTATTAGGCAATGAAATAAATCGTTAAAATTGGCAAGCTTAGTTGTATGCTGTCGGCCATTTTTATGGTTCTGTTTTAGAGTCCAAAATACCAAGATCTGAAACCAGTAGTTTTGGATATTTGACCATTTTAGTTTTAAAAGAACTTTCAAGGTGAAATGTTTTTATTGTTCAGTTTTTGAAATCAGAAGCGTTGTTGGATGCTCCCATCTATTGCTGGTTGCTATCTTTTCCTTGTTTTTTTTTCATCTATTCAATATATGAGCAGTTTTCACGGAGGACGTAGAATGACGTAGAACAGAATTTGAGTTTTCAAGCATCAAATAAGGCATATTTTGCTGTTAAATTAAAAAAGCAGCAGTGTCGCGAAAAACGTGAGTGACTTTTAGGTTAAAAGTGGTTTTAAAAAAATTACCCTGCGGGATTAAAAAGTTTCTAATTACTCCAGTTTTCTCTAATTGAGCTTGTTTTATGAAAAAAGTGTTCATCCTTACAAATTTTTGAGGTAAGAGAGCTTCAAAACCAAATAAGACTCAGTAGAATTTTTTCGACTGCATTTCTTATGTTCAAGTGATTTGGTCAATTAAATTCAGCTTTTTATGAAATCCATTCAAATATTTTCAGCAAATATTCCATGGTGGCCCCAATGTAGAGTGATTCAACTTCATTCTCTTTACACAATCAAAGCTTGAAACTTGAAATTTCGTGTGTCGAACTTGAAATTTCATTTTGGGAAATTTTGAGTCGTTGGACTATCGTTTGATTATTTTTTTCGACCTTTTTTCCAAAGCTTGGATTTCTAAGGCATCATTTTTCTTCTGATTTTATCTATGATTGAAAAACGTTTTTATAATTTGTAAAATTACCAACTCTGATGTTGTTTACGCAAGCAAAGCTGGTGTGATAGTATGAACTCTTTTTTTCCAATCTAAGTGGCAAATATTAGTGTTCATTTTGAAAGTGTTCATTTTTTTGATCAATAACCAGCTATTAAGTACAGCCAATGCTAAGGATTAACACAGACTATTATATTATAAATAGCGCTTTAGCTTCAAGGTATCATAGATCTGTAGCGTAGAAGTATGGAAGGAGACCCGCAAAAAAATAAGAGGGTTCGAATCTGGGCGGCTTCGGATGTTTTAATGAACCTTTTCGTATACTAGTTAAAATGCGTCCGCTCTATAAATTTAGGCATGTTAATTGGTAATTTTTTTTTTCAAATTGACTTACTGCTAATGCGTCATAATTGGCTCGGGTCACTTAGGAATTATGTAGACTCATAATTGGCGTGCGTCACTTAAGAAAATTTGTAGACTCAAAATTTTGCTCATTCAGTTTTTCCTAGTAGCGGCCAAGTAGCAGAAAGCAACTAAACAAATGAGTCTATTCCAATTGTTAAACCTGAGAGGATTGAGCGTATGACCAATTTGTACAATAAAACTGTTAGCTGGCATCATCTGCACTGTGGTTCGATTTAGCTGAAGTAGATTTGGTTGCTGCCAATTAGATTAGTCCTTCCAAAGAAATTGTTTTTCATGCAATCAGCGTGACTGAATGGTCATTTGTTCGACAATATAACCCCGTGTACCGTCATCAGCCTAAATTTGTTTTGTTGGAACATATTTCTAGTCGTGGGGGTTGCAGATGTCGAAAACTGCAGCCATCGGTGTGCAACACATTTTTTTCGAATTGCGGCGTTCTCAGCCAGTACAAGACACTAGTGCTGTGTGACCAAAAATGTTGGTTGCATGTTTCGTAATCCTACTCTTCTACGATGAAATGAGCCACTTGCGCTCCGTAGACAGCCGCTTGCAGCTCCAAGTTAGGTATCGTCATACGCTTTATTGGGGCGACTCGTGCTTTACCAATCAGAAATTTGGTGTTGTCCCTCTATGTTATCCTGAGAAAAGCTACCGCTGATGAGAGCGCAAACTCCTAGAGATACTTAGATTTTGTTTGTGCTCCGTGAATGAGGTTTCAGGGCACGTGGAGCCACTCGTTTTTCCATTCGTTTCGATTTTCATTGTTTGAATTTTGCTTTCCTTCCAATGAAATATAGAATTGACGAGCAATCGATTACTTCGTCCCTTATGGAACTAACTGAAAAGTTTTCCTCAGGCGAAAGTTTAAAGTTGCTAAAAGTCCGAAAGGGTCAAAGATTGAAGCCGCAAATTTCAAAAGTTCCGTTGTGTGGTTTACTTTTTGGTTGAAATTTTTTCAATTACACACGTGTCCGTAATAGGATCGCATGGAAAATCAAAAACATATTGCTGCTCTGGTTCGCAGTCCCCGAGTCCAAAATTAACGCCAAATTATTAATTTCTAACAATGATTGATTGTTCCAGTTCTCGAATTTTTGATTAGCAGACATAGTCTGATGACCTATGACCTTCTTGTGGCGTCGATTTCGATATGTATAGATCGTCCATATGTTTCGTAGAACCATTTTTTTCTAATATGGGTGCTTGTCTTCATAATCAAGTGCACAACGACATATTTCACAGCACGCAACAAGTGGAGTCTGTAGCTCTAAAGATCAGACCCGGTGAGAAGGTTTGAGTACAAGGACTGGCCAAGACAAACCTTAGACGCATTGGATACTTGGCGAATTTTCTCCGGTTTCCTTGAAATTGTCTGAAGTCGATGAGGCAGATGCCAGATTTTAGCGGCATTTTCGAGTCTTGAGTTGAGTTTAACAACATATCCTTTATTTAAGTCTTTTTCGACAGTTTGGTAGCTTTTTTCTGTCAAAGTATCGTTGTTTTCAAGTATGTTGTTGAGAGCCATCGGCTGTTTTTCTGCAAGCCAACGATTATTTGGTAGGTAAGCATCTTTCCATAGCAAAGCTACTTAAAAGTGTTCATCACCAAATGTTTTCTAAAGTAGCCATAGCACTTTTGTCATTGTTAGACGTAGTTTTCTTTGAAGACCCAATTCCGTAATTGTCTACTTTCATCCAGTTTTAAATGTCTCGAACTATTTATCGTCCACGTGAGGATGTTGATGTATTTGTTTTTAGTTCACTTTTGAGATATCGTTTATTATAATTTCTTGCCTTCCACCAACAGGCCAACCAAGAGGTGTTTTAACAGC